TGTTTACGGCATTCCCTGGGGCGGGATGGATGGGAGGGCAGTTCCCGCTCCGTGCAACAACCCAAATCCCCACCGCCTCTGGCGCAGCACATGCGCCGCCCCTGGCGGGGCGGCGCCCCCACCCACCCGCCTCCTCCCCACCATGGGGGTGCGAAGTCCCCGCCGTGGACGGGCCAGGGTGGGCACTAGAGGACACCATAGGTCCGGGCCTTCTTGATGGGGTGGGTCGGAGTAAATGTAAGTCGGGCCTGTCCCTCTACAGGAGGAAAATTCAAAAATAGTCAAACATAGTCTGCGGACGATGTTTTCTTTACTCTTCTTGGTTTTTTATTGGAACATCTTTGGATTACTTTACATGTTTCGCCCAAAATCTTCCTGTAGGGGGACAGGCCCGACCTAAGAGTAGATAGGATCCGAGGATCGCGCCGCATCGCCGATGCATCGGCGATGCGGCTCGATGTGGAGCCCGATTTGCTTCACGTCGACGTCGCCGATGCATCTCCGGTGTCGACGTTGCATCGCCGATGCATCGCCGATTCATATTCGATACATCGTCGATGTATCGGCGACACGGCTACTCGGGCCCCATCTAAGAGGCCTCTAATAGGTCGTTCAAAAACAAATCGTGGGCAACAGTATCCTACCACAAACCAACTGATGTACACCAACTGTCCTCCACCATTCGTGCCGTTTCCTGGTCAGTGAACGTTTCAATTTGATATTGCGAAGGTCCTACAGCTGGTGCCGCCGACCCTAAATGGGAACGACGACAACGGCGGCGGCGACGACGACGCTGACGTGGGTCAGAGCCCTCATGGATGCTTCTTGGGGTCTCTTCGAAGCGCTCTCGGGGGCCTCTGGGGAACAGTTTCGGGGCCTCTTGGGAGCCTCTTGGGGGCCTCTCGGGGCTTCATGGGAGCCTCTTCGGGTCTTCCTGGGGGCCTCTTGGGGGCCTTTTGGGGGCCTCGTGGTCCCTCCTGGGAGCCTGCCGGGGCCGAGGGCTCGAACTGTCCGTTATGGTCCCTCGTCTGGGCACCCTCTTGGAGCCGTCTTGGGGGCCTCGTGCGCCGTCTTGGAGGCGTCTTGGGGTGTCTTGGGGCCCTCGTGCGCCGTTTTGGGCCCCTCCTGGAGCCATCTTGGTCCGTCTAGGGCGATCTGGGGGGCCTCTTGGGCCGTCTTGGAGCGTCGGGAAGCGGAAGAGGCGAGAACGTCGAACTGCTTCAACAACCAACGGGAAATCAGTTTGAATTGTTCAATTTGAATTTCAACCGACCTCCACTGGGAATCTGTCCTAATGGAAACCAGCTTGAATTCGATTGGAATCCACAGATATCCTTCCTACGCGCTGGGCGCCTGTTGGAGTCCTCGTGAAGTCCTTTCGATTGAAACCACATCCCATGGCAATCTTACTGGAATCGGAACTGGATCTCATTTCTTCGAATTCCATTGGGCCCTGGTTAGGATCTAATTGGGAAGTCCAATCGGAACCCAGTCCACTGTCATATTATTGGCGTCCTAGTGTTCTCGCTTTGGATCCCGAATCAATTAGGAAACCCTTCTTGTAGCAAGCAGGGACCCATGATTGCGGGATCCTCGTGGTTCCCGGGATATATTGCCGGGAATAGTGGGTGGTATGGCCCAGGTGGATTCAGAAGGGCATTCAAGATGGCCCCAAATTGCCGCGGGAAGGCTTTCAAAGATGCGACCAATATTGTCCACAAGGCCTCAAGACGGATCACGAAGCCTCCAAGACGACCCAAGAAGAGTCGAAGAGGCATCCAACAGAGCTTCGAAGAGGAACACTTTCGCGTCCGTGTCTTTTTCCGTCAGCTGCAGACGGCCCACAACGGTCCCAACGTGAGCCAAGAAACCACCAAGACGGCCTGAGGAACGCTCAAGCGGGCACCACTGACGGTCCAGTAATGATTGCGCGAGCAGGGACAGCCCTAGCATAAGCGTCGTCATCGCCAGCGGAGGCGTAAGAGGCTTTTCGCGAGGCCCAAAAAGCCTCTCAGGAGACCCAAGAGGCCCGTCAGGAAGCCCGGGAGGTGTCTCAGCATGCCCAGGGGGGCCTTATAGGAGGCACGTGAAGCAAGCCTCTCACGAGGCCCAGGAGGCCTCACGGAAAGCCCAAAAGGCCTCTCAGAGGCCCACGAGGCCCCCCCAGGAAGCCTATGGGGCCTGTGAGGGGGGCCGGGAGGCCTTTGGAGCCTCCGGAGAGCGCGCAGGGGGCATCAGGACAGCGCCCAGAGGTTTGTGAGGAAGCTGCGAACAGGCTTCACACAATTATGTACGCAAAGCATGTGACAAGGTTTGCCACCGCCTTTGTAAGGCTTGCAAGCCCACTGATCAGTCCCTCTTGTTTTGAAGTTGTTCTTCTGGTTATAACATATTGGTTGTGAAAGAGCCTTTCTGAGTTGTGAAGTGGTTGTTCTTGTGATGGAGTCGTCGTCGCCAAGCGGCTCTCGGTTGTGACGAACTGCACATGGTTGTAGAATGTGCGTTCTGGTTGTGAATAGTCCGACTCCCCCTCCGGGCCCCCCCCCCCCCTGGCGCAGGACTCGTGCCCTCGCCCACTCTCCAACACCGGGCCCCCCCTGGCCCTGGGACCTCCGTGGGCCCGTTCTCTGGCCCGCGCCCTCGTCCCACTCGGCCCAACCGTTGTTAACGTTCGCTCGCTCGTCGTCGTCGTCGTCGTCGTCGTGTTCGTCGTCCCCGTGGTCCGTCGTCGTCCCCCGTCGTTCCGTCGTCGATCGTTGAAAAAGCACTATGCCTTTCCAAGAAAAGCTAAAAGGAGTAACACGCTGACGGGTTGATACTCTTTGTGCCTTCCGCCGAACCCTCGGGCAATGGCCGCCCGAATTTCGGTTCACGTAGCCGAACTTGGTTCGCATCCTGAGCCCTGGCTTTCAGAGCTCGGACTTCCAGGGGTAGGGTTCTCATGCGGCTGCCCGGCTCGCCTTCAGCCCTCGGCGCTGGACCCGCACCCCCCTGGCCCCTGTCCCTCGCCCGCGCCTTCGCTTCCAGCCTCCCTGGGGCGCCTCGCTCTTGTCTCGCCGCTCGTCCGTCGTCGTTCCTCCCCCGCCAGGGCCCCGCCCGTCCCTCCTGGCCATGGACCCATAGCCCGCGCCCTTCTCCGCACGGAAGGCGAGGCGGCGGTCTCTGTTCCGTTGTACCCGTTTTCCGGGGGACGTTTTCTGGCCTTGGGGGTCATGGTGGGCAGGTGTCGGGCACATCGTGTGGTGAGCCGGTGGGGGTTCGAGGTCACCGCACGGTTTGGGGACTCGGGTCCCTCTCCGAGGACGTCTCGGGCGATAGGGGGCCTCCAGGGTCCCCAAACCGTGCTGTGACGGACCGTGCGGTGAGGTCTTGGGGGACTTCGAGGTCACCGCACGGTGTGTCATCGCACCGTTTCGGGACAAAGGTGGCCCCGGAGCAGGGTACCGGGACTTCGGGCTCCCGTGCTGCGCAAAAATCGCCACACCTGCAGTCCGTCCGTGCTTCACCGAGACAGGACGAGAGGCGGCGGAGCATGCCAGCCACGCATCACGAGTCGCACGCTCTCGGTGTCGGAGAGAGCGTGATCCACCGCCGCTTTATTGTGGAAAATTGCCCCCCTCTTCCTCCAGAACCCGGGGGTCCCCCCCCCCCCTCCGAACCCCCCCCCCCCTGCTGGACCCCCTGGCAAACCCCCCCCCCTCCCCTAACCCTCCCCCCCCCCCTCGAAAATGGGGGGGTCACTACCGGTTCGAACCCCTCCCCCCCCTCGAAAACCGGGGGGGGTCACTACCGGTTCGAACCCCCCCCCCCTCGAAAACCAGAGGGGGGTCACTACCGGTTCGAACCCCTCCCCCCCCCACTCACCGCCAGCAAACGACTCCCGGTCCCTACCACCGTCCGCGCCACATCCCCCACTGTTGTTCCCAGCACCACTGTCCTCACCACCACTGTCCCCACTGGTTCCACCACCGTCCCTACTGTCCCCACCAGTGCCCCCACCACTGTCGCACTGTCCCCACTGTCCCCACCACTGTTCCCACCACAGTTCCACTCTCCCCACTTTCTCCACGGCCCCAACCACTGCCCGACTATCCCCACTGTCCCCACTGTCCCACTGACTCCTCCGCTGTCCCACTGAGCTGTCCCACTGTTCCCACCACTGTCCCCACTGTCCCCACCACTGTCCCCACTGTACCTCTGTCCCATTGTCCCACCGCCGTCCTCGCCACCGCCTTCACCACTGTCCCCACCACCACTGTACCCTCCACTGTCCCACTGTTTCCACCCTCCCACTGTCCCCACACCACTGTCCCCACCACCACCGTCCCCACCACTGTCCACTGTCCCCACTGTTCCCACCATTGTCCTCACCACTGTCCCCACCACTACAGTCCCCACCACTGTCCCACTGTCCCCACCACTGTCCCGCTGTCCCCTCACCACTGTCCCCACCACCACCGTCCCCACCACTGTCCGCACCCCCCTCGGTTTTCGAAGGGGGGGGGGGGGTTCGAACCGGTAGTGACCCCCCCCGGTTTTCGAGAGGGGGGGGGGGGGGGTTCGAACCGGTAGTGACCCCCCCCCTTTTCATGATGAACTGGGGGGGGGGAGGGGTTCGAACCGGTAGTGACCCCCCCCGGTTTTCTGGAGGGGGGGGGGGGAGGGGTTCGAACCGGTAGTGACCCCCCTCGGTTTTCCGCCAGCAGCGGTAGAACACGCTCTTTCCGATGTCGCCGTCGTCGTCGCCCTCTGCATTCTTCTCTCTCCATCTGTCTGTCGTCTTCCCTCCCCTCTCTGTGTCTCTCTCTCTCTCTCTTTCTCCCTCTCTCTCTCTCTTTCTCTCTCTCTCTCTCTCTCTCCATCTCTCCCCACTCCCTCTCTCTCCCTCTCTCTTTTGCTCCCTCCTCCCTGTCTGCCTTCTCTCTCTCTCTCTTTCCCCCCCCTCTCTCCCCCTTCTCTCTCTCTCTCTCCCGCTCTCATTGTCCCAGAGCGTGGCGCAGGCGAACACGAGCCTGCTGGACAGCGCCACCAGCAACACCACCGACGCCCTGGTCGGGCGGTGGGCCGCCGCCGTCTGGCCCAGGGGGCCGCTGCCGCTGCCGCCTCCGCCTCGTCCCGGGCGGCGCGGCAGCGCCCCCCGCTTGCGGCGGCCCCCCAGGCGGTGTGGTGACCGCACCGCGTGGTGAGCCCGTTGGGGGCTTTGGGTCACCTCGATGGCGAGTGCCTGGCCACACCGTGTGGTGATCACGCCGTGTGGTGCGTCCGTGGTGCCCACACCGTGTGGTGAGTCCGTGGGGCTGTGCGGTTCCCCATGGGAGCCTCAGTGAGATGGCCCCAGAACTCCTTGCGGTGTTGTGGAATTTTGTCGGGATTCCATCTGATTTGATCGACGTCTGGACGAGATCTGGACGAAGGGGTGAAGAGAGGCGGTCGAACTCTGGACGACATCCATTCGAAATCACGTGTATGATAGAGCCGAGGAGGTCCACAGAGGTTCCATGAAGGCTCATCCAAATGGAGATTCGGTCGGCGCCACCCCAACATACTAGTACTAAGTGTGTAAGTGTGTGTGTGTGTATGTGTGTGTGTGTGTGTCGCCCCGCCACGGGCGACGCGCGCACCTAGAATTTAGTCGCGCACGTCCCTCTACAGGGGGAATCTTGAAAATTACTCCAACGGAAGGACCCCACATGATAATCTGTTTTGCGTGCCCTTCTCCCTTTCCTCCTGGCCATGGCAAAGACCCTCCTCTCGCCCTCTCCTCTGCCCTCTCTTTTCCCTCCTTCATCTATTTCTCCCTTCCCCCTCCGTCTACCTCCCCCTCCTCCTTCTCCACCTCCTCCTTATCATCGCCCTCCCCCATACCCTCCCCCTCCTCATCTTCCTCCTGCCGCTTCTCTACGTGCACCTCCCCCTCCCCCTGGGCTGGGCAAGCAAGTCGATGTTCCTCGGCGCCGTCGCCGCCTCGGCCAGCACTGGACTGGCGCGTTCTCTGATGGCCGCGTCGCGCAGCCGTTGGGACAACCCCGCGGGCCAGGCTGTCGGGACAACCCTGCGAGCCGTTGGCGCGCAAGACCAAACCGTCAGGACAACCCCGCGGGCTTCGAGCGGGGCGCAGCCACGCTCAGGCGGGAGGCGGCACGAAACCCAGCTTTGCCGCGAGCTGCTCCGCCTCCGCCCTGGACAAAACCGCTCTCTTGTCGAACTCCAGCAGCGCCTTCCGCAAGGACGCCGGCGGCCCTCGGTCCAGGAACTCCCGCGGCGGCGACCGCAGGATCAGCATGTTCCGCATGCGCGTGGCGCGGAAGAACATGACGCAGAGGTGCAGCCACCACTGCTCATCCGACATGCCCGTGCGGCCAGCGTCCTCGTCTCTCGCGCAATCGATGGTGACGCCCTTGCGCAGCGTCTGGCCCTGCGACAGCGTGGAGGTCAGGTAGGACGCGTGCGTCAGGGTGAACCCCGAGCGGCGCACGCTGTGCGCCCCCGAGCTCTGCTACGTGCGGGGGCACGACCCAGAGGAAGCGCACAGGGGCTCGTCCCAGTGGATACGTGCCGGGAATACTCTGGGAACGCGACGAACCCGAAGTGGCCTACAGTTGGCTCCGGGCATTCACGATGTGGCCTGGGAGTAGTGTTCTGGGAACACGAATTCACTCGCAATTCACTCACAGACGAGGCTCCCGCGTGAGACTTCCTCCATATTCAGGCCTGAGGAGCCCAAAAGTGACGACAGTTACAGGATCCCGATGACCCGCTCGGATTAGTAACATAATCCGCGGGCCCCATAGGGAGGGGGCTCCCGCCTGAGACTTCCTCATAATTCACTCAGAGACGAGCCCTCCGCCTGAGACTTCCTCCAGATTCAGGCCCCAGGAGCCCAAAAGCGACGACAGTTACAGGATCCCGATGACCCGCTCGGATTAGTAACATGATACGCGGGCCCCATAGGGAGGGGTTCCGCCTGAGACTTCCTCGCAGTTTACTCACAGGCGAGGCCCCCGCCTGAGACTTCCTCCAGATTCAGGCCTCAGGAGCCTAAAAGTGACGACAGTTACAGGATCCCGATGACCCGCTCGGATTAGTAACATGATCCGCGGGCCCCATAGGGAGGGGTTCCCGCCTGAGACTTCCTCGCAATTTACAGGCGAGGCCCCCGCCTTATATTTCCTCCAAATTCAGGCCTGAGGAACCCAAAAGTGACGACAGTTACCCGCTCGGATTAGTAACATAATCCGCGGGCCCCATAGGGAGGGGGCTCCCGCCTGAGACTTCTTCATAATCCATTCACAGACGAAGCCCAAGGCGAGTGAGTGAGTGACTGACTGAATTACTGACTGGTGATGATGATGATCATCATCACAGTCTTCATCACACTCTCTCACGCGCACATTCATCATCATATGTGAGTGTTGATGAATCAGTGAGTGAGTGTGTGAGTGACTGAGTGTGTGAGGGATGATGAGTGAGTGGGTGAGGAATGAGTGATGATGATTGATGATGGTGGGTTCATGTTCATGCGCGGAGTGTCCAGAGAAAATTACTCCGACGGAAGAACACCACATAAGAATCCTCTGGGCGAATCTGGAAAAGCCATCACCGTCGTCCTCGTGGATGGTGAGGCGTCCTGGCTGTCTCTTCTGCGTATATTTCCTCTCGCCTTGGCGCGGGCCCCCCTTCCACTCCTTACGTTGTCCCCATCCTCGCCCCCCTGTTTGTTCCGCGCCCCGCCACCTCCTCCCCTTCCTGTTGCATGAGCGCGCATGTCGATGTTCCTCGGCGCCGTCGCCGCCACGGCCAGCACAGGCGCGTTCTCTACTGGTCACGTCGCGCAGCCGTTGGGACAACCCCGCGGGCCAGGCTGTCGGGACAACCCCGCGAGCCGTTGGCGCGCAAAACCAAGCCGTTGGGACAACCCCGCGGGCTTCGAGCGAGGCGCAGCCGCGCTCAGGCGGAAGGCAGCACGAAGCCCAGCTCTGCCGCGAGCTGCTTCGCCTCCGCCCTGGACAAAACCGCTCTCTTGTCGAACTCCAGGAGCGCCTTCCGCAGGGACGCCGGCGGCCCGCACTCCAGGAACTCTCGCGGCGGCGGCCGCAGGATCAGCATGTTCCGCATGCACGTGGCGCGGGAGAACATGACGTAGAGGTGCAGCCACCACTGCTCGTCCGACATGCCCGTGCGGCCAGCGTCCTCGTCTCTCGCGCAGTCGATGGTGACGCCCTTGCGCAGCGTCTGGCCCTGCGACAGCGTGGAGGTCAGGTAGGACGCGTGCGTCAGGGTGAACCCCGAGCGGCGCACGCCGTGCGCCCCCGAGCTCTGCCATGTGAACTCCCCTTCGCTGGGCCTGAACATCAGCAAGCTCCGCGCCCGCGCCTCGATCTCCCGCCTGAGACTTCCTCCCAGTTCACTCACAGACGAGGCTCCCGCCTGAGACTTCCTCCATATTCAGGCTTGAGGAACCCAAAGTTGACGACAGTTACAGGGTTCCGATGACCCGCTCGGATTACCAACGTGATCTGCGGGCCCCATAGGGAGGGAGCTCCCGCCTGAGACGTCCTCACAATTCACTCAGAGACGAGGCTCCCGCCTGAGACTTCCTCCAAATTCAGGCTTGAGGAGCCCAAACGTGACGACAGTTACAGGGTTCCGATGACCCGCTCGGATTACCAACATGATCTGCGGGCCCCATAGGGAGGGGGCTCCCGCCTGAACCTTCTTCAGAATTCACTCACAGACGAGGCTCCCACCTGAGATTTCCGCCAAATTCAGGCTTGAGGAGCCCAAAAATGACGACAGATACAGGATCCCGATCACCCGCTCGGATTACCAACGTGATCTGCGGGCCCCATAGGGAGGGAACTCCCGCCTGAGACTTTTTCCCAATTCACTCACAGACGAGGCTCCCGCCTAAGACTTCCTCCAAATTCAGGCTTGAGGAGCCCAAAAGTGACGACAGTTAGAGGATCCCGATGACCCGCTCGGATTACCAACATGGTCTGCGGGCCCCATAGGGAGGGAACTCCCGCCTGAGACTTCCTCGCAATTCACTCACAGACGAGGCTCCCGCCTGAGACTTCCTCCGTTTTCAGGCCTGGGGAGCTCAAAAATGACGACAGTTACAGGATCCCGATGACCCGCTCGGATTACCAACATGATCTGCGGGCCCCATAGGGAGGGGGCTCCCGCCTGAGACGTCCTCACAATTTACTCAACGATGATGAGGATGAGGATGATGAGTGGTGGTGAAGATGAGTGGTGGCGATGATGATGTTTGAATGAGGATGATGCCGATGCCGATGATGATGATGATGATGTTCGTGAACGTGTGAGAGAGTGCGAGTGATGATGATGATGAGTATGTGAGTGACTAAGCATGTGAGAGAGCATCATCGATTATGCTGATGAGGTTGATGATGGGAGAGTGTGAATGAGTGTGAGTGGGTGTGTGTGTGTGTGTGTTCCTGTTCCTGCGTGGGGTGTCCAGAGAAAACAAGAACCCCACTTTGGATGTGGGGAACAAGCACCCCACTTTGGATGTGGGGAAATAGTCAAAACATAGTTTGGGGTACGATTTTCAGACTATTCTTGAGTTTTTTTTTCGGGTATTTCCTGACTATTGTTCATTTGTCGCCCAAAATCCGCCTGCAGGGGAACATGCCCGACCTACACCTATGAATATTGTAGTACATGCGTCGTGGCGGGCGCTTTCTGGCCACACCGCTCGGGAAACGAGAGACAACGAGATGGAGGACATCTGTACTAGTACGTCTTTGTTCAAGGGAGGAAAGCCACCCGGACCCGACAATGGACGTTTAGTAAGCGGCCTTGGGCGTTTACTAAACAGCCCTGGCCTGTTCGATTGCTTTTGTGGGCGCGTTTGCTAAAAAGGCTGCGCGTGTCGGGGCGATTAATGTTTGGGGTGGGATTTTTTGCCCCGCTGATATACCGTACTCGGATTTCTCTGCGCGTCCCAATGCTGGGATTCGGGATCACCGAGCGGTTTGTGGAACGATTTCTCGGCAGGAGGAGGAGGACGAGGAGCGAGGAGGAG